TCGATCTCAACCTAGTCCATGAATTCATCCGATTCTCGGGCCCTTAACAATCAAAAGCATTAGGCACAATAACTTAGGAAGCAATCTCAATAGCTATTAACACAAGTTATTCAATACATATTCAAGAGATTGGGCTATATCTTAGCCTTAGAAAATAAAGTTAGTTCGTAGCAAATATGCAAGAAACAAAAATCTTTATTAAAACAAAAGTCATGAGTTTAAGGAAGAACAAAGAAAAACTTCTTTATGATTTTTCCCCAAAAGCTCCAGAAATTATGATGCTCTTTTTTTTTTTTTTTTTTTCTTCTAATAGTTTTCCTTTTGATCTCCCCCAAAAAGTCCCTCAAACAATGCTAAAGACTTTTATTTGTATCCCACAAGGGTTAGGGTTTCGTTTCCCCTCATTCAACTAAGTTTAGGACTCCTAAAACCCTAATTTTCTAGTCAAACACGGAAATAAATTTTCCAGTTTTTTTGAGTGTACCACAGCACTGTGCCGCAGCATGGGTGGTTCTAACTTTGTTGTGCCATAGCACAATGTCATAGCATGGTTTCCAAACCTTCTCTTCAGTTCAGACCTTGCATCATTCTTCAACACTCCAGATATGGTGATTTATGAGCCCTTCGAATATTCTTTCCAATGGTTCAAGAATTTTCTCAATACAAGGTCTTAGATATATTTATTGTCAAAATACTGAAGCGTGATCAAATTGGAGCGTACTCTAGAATATTCTCTTTAACTTCAAAACTCCATAACTTCTTCAATTCAACCCTGATTCTCAATCCATTTGTTTCTACTCCTCACTCATTCTGTTGCTGACATGATTCTCCATCCGAGCATAACATTTAGCATTAATAATATGAAAACACTCAAACAAACCCGTGATCCATAAAAGACATTCATGAAAATATTAAGCAAATTTACCAATTTAAGCCTACTTTCTCACAAATAATCCCCCATAAACCATTAAGTAAATGTGTATTTTCAAGCTCTTATCAATATTTAATAATATATGCCCTTAGAGTGGTGGAACCATGATAAGGGAATTAAGTGTTTTAAGTCTTGATTGTGAGATCCCTATGACCATAGATGGTGGCCATTCTAGAAACATATGTAGCCTTAGTATTATTCTGCCCTAGGGTACAGATAATACGGTAAGACTATCATAGCGTTGAACAACCCTACCGAAAAGGAGTGACAAATCTTACATGTCAAATTTGTTGGGTGACAATTTGGTGCAACGCGTGGGTGCTTGTTGAATGCAAGTCCACTAGACTAGCCCACCAAAGGATTCCATATAGATGGTAACCTCAGTATTTGTAGAAATCCTCTAACGGATGGTGGTACATATAATCCTTAGACTTGAGATCACCGGAGCGTTTTGTGTATCTATTGGTGTAGTTTGACAGTAGCCTAACGGAGTCTTATTTAGGGGTTTCAATATGGTAGTGATTGGCTACATTGAGAAGTATATTAAGGCTATGGTGGATCAACTTAGAATTCATCACTCCTAAGTATAGGAGAGAGTTATCACACAACGTGATTCAGTTAAATTGACACAACACATAAATCTACGGTCGTAATGGGATTAAGTCGTTACTCAATCCAATTTTAATTTGGTCGTTTGATCTGATAACCAAATACTAACACATCAGAATAACATCTGAGGTTGACATTATTTATATGCCTCAGCCTGATGGGAGTCATACAATTGATAGGTATCAATTCTATGTTGATCTTTACTTGTTGGGTGACCATGATGTCTTGTTAGAGGCCAATCTTGATATATGTATAGTGAGAGGATTAATTGGTGGTTAATCGCGATTACTCATTACCAACATAATAGAGAGTCTACGGGTTACACAAATAAAGGGAATTAAATCAAGAACTTGTTTTGATCAAAGAAATGGTTAAAGGGTATTTTGGTCTTTTCACAAAAACAAGGTAATTTGGTAATTCTATATAGGTTGTTGCCTATGTCTATTTCTTAATGAAATAGAATAAATAAATAAGCTTGCCTAATTAACATTAATTATATTAATATTAATTGAATGAATTAAAATTACCCTAATTAATGTTAAATATATATTTATTATATATGAATATTAATTGAAATAAAATACCTAATTAATATTCAATATATTTAGTATATTAATGTATAAATTGGAAACCTATTTAATTCTATCCTAAATTGGATTTAGCATAAACTCAATTAGGAATAGAATTGTATCATGTTTCAAGATGGAATAGGACTTTAAGTTTACTATATAAGCAAACTTAAAAATTAGGTTTCATTAAGTTTAAGTTAATTCTCTAAAAGTGGAGTGAGTTCTTTTAGAGAGAGAGATCCATATTCGTTTTTACCAATCTAGCAATTGGGTGATTTAGTCTTTGGTTGTTCTTGTCAATTCTCTATAGGGATACTGAAGCACGATTCTACACTTGAATCGGGTTGCAAAGAATCCATAGTGAATAGTGCCAAAAATTAAAGTGATGAAGCCTCCAAATGTGAGTAAGTCCTTCTATCCTTGAATGGACTTTTAAGCATGAAAACGGTAAAATCAATACCCGGATCCTAGGCTTTAAGGTTAATTAAGTTTTCAATTGTTAATTCCATTGCGTATGTTCTAATTAAACCTTACAGCTTGACCCCGACCCGCCCGACCGTATCAAAATAACATAATATCATTTCATATATAAATTTAAATATAAGCTTGTATGCAATCAATCAATATTCAATAATCATACAAAAAATTAGAAAATAAGCAGTTTATAATTTTATATTCTCATTTTAATTAGATGCCATTATAATAGGCATAATATAATAGCCCTACTCAAAAATTTTAGTCAGGTATAAATCTTGTTAATCTTACATCAATTTGAATAGTTGAAAATTAATCAATGAAGCAAACTAAACAAATTAATTAGAAAATGGAAGAAGAACTTCATACCAGAATAAATTAATTACTTAAATCGACATTTAAAATCTTTGTAAATTAAAATTATCAATTAATTAGATGAAGGAAGAGGAACTTTTTGTGATATTCAAAGAATTCATACATTATGTTATAAGGTTCCTCTTCCTTCTTCAAGTAGTTAATTTAATTTGAGATCAACAAAATGTATAGTTGTATACATCTCTGTTTTAAAACCCAGATCGGACCGACCGGTTCGACCAATTCAATTAGGAGCCGGCCTTTACTTCAATCCGGGTTAACATAAAATTGGGAATATTATTAAACCCGTTTTAGAACGGTAATGGATCGACAGAACAGTACAAAACCGTCCGTCCAACCAGCCCGGGGCTTAAAACAGTTCGCTATTTTTTGGTATCTAATCCAAAAAAATTCATATTCCTAATTCCTAAACCAATTTACAGCACCGTTTCATTCTCCATTTCATTTGAAAAAACCAAATTGTATTTTTCATTTTCATCTTCAATTCTTTTTCACTTACTCTAAAATCTACTGGTAAACAAGAAGAAGAGAGGGGAGGGGAAGGAAGAAGAAAGAGAAGAGGAGAGAAAAATTACAGTAAAGGAAGAAGAAAGAGAGAAACAGAAGAAAGAGGAAGAAGAAAGAAGAAGAAAGTGACGGGGAGTGATGGGGAGAGAGAGAAAAAAGGAGAAAGAAAAAAGTGATGGGGAGTGATGGCCTGATAGGGAGAGAGAGAAAAAAAGAAAAAGATGAAAGTGATGAGAAGAGAGAAAAAATTAATTAAGAAAAAATAATTAATAATAAAATCTGAGAATGCATTTGCTTTATTTTAAACTTATAAGGGTTTATACTAAATTTTAGGGATGTATTTATTGGTTTTCAAACTTATAACAATTAATGAAGTTGTTTAAAGATGTGACTGCTATATACCGATTAGACAGACCGGTCCAATCGGTTAGACCGGTCAACTCACGAACCGACCCCTTGACCGGGTCAACGAACAGTCCAACTTTTAAAACAACGGTATACATATATTTAATTTGTTATTAACTTATTATTATTAGTGGTATCTAATTAAAATCAGAGTATAAATCTCTTATTTTCTAATTTTATGGATGATTATTGATAGGATTGCATAGAAAAGAACGTATATTTAATTTTTTCAAAGAAATTATATTGTGTTATATATATATAAGTTTGATTAAAATTTAGATATTGTTGTGTATATGTATTATGTAAATGAGTAAATGTTAATGTATATAATGTACACTTTTAAAAAGTTACATTTAAAAAAAAAAACAATAACAACAAATTAAGGGGAGGAAAAAATTATCATTTACAAAAAATTGCGATTAAAGACCTTTTTATCCTTCTCTCGTATTTTCTAATTTTATGGATGATTATTGATAGGATTGCATAGAAAAGAACGTATATTTAATTTTTTCAAAGAAATTATACTGTGTTATATATATAAGTTTGATTAAAATTTAGATATTGTTGTGTATATGTATTATGTAAATGAGTAAATGTTAATGTATATAATGTATACTTTCAAAAAGTTACATTTAAAAAAAAAAACAATAACAAGAAATTAAGGGGAGGAAAAAATTATCATTTAAAAAAAACTGCGATTAAAGACCGTTTTATCCTTCAGATATTTGAAGACATTTTCAATTTAAGATTTGGCTGACTTGCTATTTGTATATAAACCCTAATTTTGCACACAGCCACACCCACACACATGTGCAACAACCAAGCCAACATTGAACACACAAGACTACTGAGTCTAATCACATTCACAAATCGCATCGGCCGCCACATCCCGCTTCCGACCAGCAAGTAGTGAAGCACAGAAGCATTGACACTCAACAATCAACGGCGATGGCTGTCAAATCTTCTATCCTCTGATGGTTTGTGAAAAATCTGTTGGTTTCAAATTTTCAATCATATTTGTATCTGTTGTTTTCTGTTGAAGATCTGGTTTGGCGTCCTTTTGTGTTGGTTTTATCCATGCAGCTCCTTCGCTAATGTCAATTAATAGCTGGGTCAGTCACTCAGTCTTGTTAACTTAATTAATTAAATTGATTATTTATTGTCTCAGGTGGGTAGTAGTTTCAGATGGGTATTAGATTAACTTAATAAAAGAGCTTCTCTATTCAATCTACTCTCTATTCAGATTTGAAGTTGGTACAGAAGCCAAGTTGTTCATGCATCATTAGGCAAAAGGGACTTTGTTTCGGATGCATAAAGTTGATCATCACCATCAGTATCTATTTCAGCATTGTTGTGTCAGCCCTGAAAATATCGGTCATGGCAAAACCAATCACCTTCAGTACAGTAAAAAATATTTGGCATCTGAGGAAAAAACAATATACTTCTAATGTCAAATTTGGATTAATTAAATTTAAAGCCAAATCAAGCATTGCATCAAACACTTTTCTGATGTCCAGAAAATAAAATTTGGCAACTACAATTACCTTTAACCATGCCAAAATTGATATGATATACAAACTGAACTTTTTCCAGGTTGAGCAGTTAACAAACCCAAACCAAATTGTAGAAATATGCAACCGCAGAAGAAGAAACACATGAAGACTCACACCCTTCCTTTAAACAAATGAAAGACAAATTCAGGGCAATGTTGTTTCAATTCTTCTTCATTTTTCACCAAGGATTTCACCAGTAAGGACTTTCTAAGATAGGGCATTATGCAAGCAAATTTATCAGATATTAATGGCTCAAGTAATTAATGCAGATAAACTGACATACGTGAAAATACATACCTGGAAGGCGTGAACGGTGAACCAGTCCATTAATTTCTATTAACTATCTAAACATTTCATCACAACCACCACTGCAGCCTGATCACATGTATTAGAAATTCACCCGATACCATTTAATTTGAAAATAATATTTAGGGGAATGTATGATAAAATTCACCCAAGTTGTAGGGTGTTCAAGGACTTGAAAACCAAAAGAGCTTTTCTTTCTTTTTTAAAGTAGAGGAGAAATGGGAAAGGTGGACAGAGGCATGATGACAATGAACACTAATTTTGGTCTGCAGAAAAGGAGACATGGTTGGAGAATGGCCCCTACCTACTAGTATTACTACCACTCACAAAGTCTGCAAAAAGAGACAACTTAATGTACTACTAGCATACTATTTGATTACTTTCTTTCCGTTAGTTCATCTTCTTTAGTTTTTCACTTAAACCTACATATTCCATTTCATCATGATGTGATACAATACCAACAAAATACAAACAAACAGATAGGACATATTACATAACTCCTCCAATTATGATTATTTGACAGATCAAATAGCAGTTTGCAGAAGAAACTGTTCTTGAACAAGCATTAAAGATGATGAACAAGGGTAATTATTTCTACTTCATGCTGATTTTTAAAGGTAAGACACTTGTTGAGCTTGGAAGAAACTGAAAGTTTGGTCCACTTTTGAGCCAGAAAATTTCAAGAGAGACGAACAAAGGCAGAGATAAAAGTCTTTGAACAGCATGTGAAGTTCAGGTTTCAGTCTTTATCAGAACAAAATCTTATAAGATCTTTGTTGCTTGTTCTCCACAAATGCTAAACTGATTGGAGTGATTTGGGTACTCAAACCTTTTATGTTTGTTCACTTTTTACATCAAAAAAACAATTAAAAGGGAACAAAGATTTTCTAAATTGCTGACCATGGGGAATGTATACAGGAAAAATATTGGCCTTAAACACATTTGGACACTAATTTTGGCTGGGGGTGTATTTGTAAAAAAAAAAAAATGATTAAAGCATATCAATCTTACGCTGCCATACTTGAAAATTGGAAAAGAAATATTTTTTAAAGATGAAATTTATGTATATAATTCCCCTAAATGGTATAGAGTATGCACCTAAATGCATGATAAAATTATTATAATGACCTTCTAATTAAAATTAAACTTAAAAAAAAGAATTAATGAAAGCATCTGATACCATTTGATTTGAAAATCTCCTATGCTTAAAATATATCAAACCATTGCTCTTAACTTTGCAATTTACCAATAACAATCTAGCCACAAATGTTGTTCTAATTCATTTGGAATGCTACTGCTGCTATTACAAATTTAATTAGTATCTCACCTCTTTTTTACTACTCACCACAGAAGAAGGATTCCATACAAACTGAACTCTTGAGTCCTGAAAGCTATCTCAAAATAAGCAAAACTGGAGCACTCACCATAATCCTATCTTATGTATCATAATCTATAGTATCTAATTTAATTTTCTACTACTCACCATAGAAGAAGAGCTCAATTTCAAACTGACCCTAACAGCACTCTCAAGATACTTAAAACTGAAGAAACAATTCATATCAGAATTTTGTCCTATGTAACAAAGCAAAAAGATGGAGGCATCATGTTAGTCAGATGTAATCTTAAACCGAACAGATAGAAAATCATAATTAATATTTGAAGTACATGATATCAAATATTTTTTAACCATACATAATAGAAAAAGAAACATGAATTTGTACACCCAAATGCTACGGTAAGAGAATTAAAAAAATCCAATTCAAAAACTTAAAAAATCATCCCATCCAGACTAATTAAGATAAGTTAATCCTATTCAAAAACTCATCCAGAGTAAGTTAAGCTGATGAAATTCGAAAAAAAATAAAATCAAGTGTAAGCACATCAAAATACTCACCTTCTATAGACGCAGAAAGAAGCTTACGAGCACAACCATTCTAGCCCTTCTCATAAAAGCATCAATGCTACAATGAGTTGAAGGCATAGGAAATTTTAGCACAAAAGCATGACAAATAAATCCTACAGTAGCAACAGGTTACAAATCCTAAAAACATTGCATCATTATTTATCGAACAAATAAATTCTGCAGAACATCTCTTAAGAGGACCATAACTGCATATAAAAAAAATTACTGTAGCAAATTAATAATAAATTATTACGCACATCATTCATTGGCATCAAAATTTTTATCAAATTTTCATATAATTAATTAACAACAATGGGATTGAATTCAGATCAGAATATATTATATTCTTAATTAGAAGCAATACAATTTTAATGGCGTAGAATATGTTAATTGCTTCTATTACAATCAAAATTCGACAGCAAATGCTAACAACTATTAGGTCAAGAACACATATCGATAACCAACAAATAAAAATCGTACCTTAACATTTTCAGCTTCTTTGATCGCCTCCACAAGCTTCAGCTGCAACAAAATGTTGTGGGTCCAGAAATGTACCCGAGACATGGTGCAGATTACAACATCAAATTTTTTCACTGCTTCCACTAGGCTCTTATGATAAAAAACGAGCCCTCAACCAGAATAGCCGCTTCCTTTTTGAACAACAACAGCATCAGAAGCTTTTTCAATGTCAAGTTCGATCTCTGGACGCTGAAGACCTAAAAGAAAGGGAAGGAGACAACGGCAAAGGAGCTCAACGACGGGAAGAGAAGGAATGTAGGCGATGCAATAAAATCAAAATGAAATAAAATGGTGGTAGGGATTTCAAAATTGGGGAAAAGGCAGGTACTGTTGGATGACTTATGTTGTAGTCTTGTAGATTTGGGAATATTGTAACCAGCAGCCCTTCATAGTTTCAAAAATAGACAATATAGACCCGATAAAATGTTTTTTAACTCCCCCCATTTTGAACGTTTTTTCATTAAATGTTTCAGAATCCAGTTTTTAATTTAAATAATCCAAACATTTAACAATCAATGTACAAGTTGAGAGTAGGTGGATCTTAATTGTCAAAATAAACTAGTAATGGTTTAAGAGAAATGTTAACCTTACTCACTTCTCTTTCCATCCCATAGTTTGTAGTCACATGCGGTCACATGCTTGTCAAATCATTGTGTGAGTAAGAGAAGTGAGTAAGGCTAACATTTTTCATAGTTTAATAGACTTGGGAATATCAATATGAGACGATCCTAATTAATTATTCTTTCATGCAAATTCATTTAAATTATTATAAATTTATTTAAAATATTTATTTTACTAAGATAATTAACATAATAAAATGACAATTGGAATCTTGTAACTTGAAAATGTTAACCTAATTAATATGATAATAGTCATTTTATTTTGATCAAATGATTTAAAAAATAAAGAGTAAATAAAAATAATCAACTCAAATTTGAAATATAAGTTTAATATAAAACAGTATAGTCCAATTAATTTGAACAAGAGAAAGAATAATGCTTAAAATTCAAAAAATAAACACAAATGGCCAAACATGGAAGGCTACGTCTAAGTTACCCAATTATTAAAATAGTTGGTGGATCCTAATTCCCTTAACAAAATGGCAATAAACTAGCAATGAATTGAGTTATAATGCTACACAACATTACCTATAAAAGGAATATTTAGAAGGTCGAACAACATCCTCCCACCCGAAGTACCTTAAAGACAATTTTGTAGTTAAGTTTGAAAACAACTATTATCCAATTATGTCTGATAACTTGGTAAATTCAAGAATAGTCAAAGGGTAATTATGTAAAAAAGAATATATATATATATATATATATATATATATATATGAACGAACTCCTCCCATCTTCTTCATCTCAACGACACACGTTAGCAAGCATTGCCACCGGCGTTTTGGCCAACTTTCTGGCCATTTTTCCACCCAAAACCCTTGACTGTTAGAGTGGGTGCCCTAAAGCCAATCCAATTGTGTAAATTTACTCTTTGTAATCATGTTTTATTATCAATAAAAGACATTATCTATACCATATGATCTGATTATATTCATATAAAAAAAATGGTATATGTCCTTAGGATGGTAGAATCGTGATGAAGGTATTGAGTGTTTGAAATCTCGATAATGAAAACCCTATGAGCACATATGGTAGCCATTTTAGAAACATCCATAGCCCTAGTATTATCCTGACCTAGGGCACAGATAATACGGTAAGACTATCATAGTGTTGGACGACCCTAACAAAAGGCAATGACAGATCTCACTTGTCAAGGTTGTTTGGTGACCAACCTGGTGTAACACATGAGTGCTTGCTATAAGCAAGTTTACCAGACTAACCCACCAATTGATTCCATATGGATGGTAACCTTAGTGTCTATGGAATAAATCCTCTATTAAATATTGGTGCATGTGATCCTTAGACTTGAGATCACCGGAGCGCTTTGTGCATCGATTGGTGTAGTTTGACACTAGCCCAATATAGTTCTATTTAGAGATATCAATATAGTAGTGATTGGCTACATCGAGGAGTGTGTCAAGACTATGGTGGATCGACAAAGAATTCATCAATCCCAGGTACAGTAGAAATTATCTCATTGAGTAATTCAGTAGATGGCAACGACATTAAATCTGTGGCCACAGTGGAATTGAGTTATAGCTCAATCCAATCTATTCCAGTCGTTGGTCCAATAATTGAATACCAAGATATCAAGGATATCTGAGGTTGACACTACTTTTATGCCTCAGCCTTGATGAGATAATAGATGATGAAATGATTGAATTGCACGATAACCATATTGTTGATAGGTAGCAGTTTCGTTATCCGAATCTATCGGGTGACCATGATGCTTAGCTAGAGGCCAATCTTGGTCTATGTCGAGTGAGACGATTGATTGATTGTCAATCACAATACTATTCACTACCGATATGATGAGGAGCCTTCGGGTCGTACGCATAGAAGACAGAATAAGAAAATAATTCGTGAGAGGGGTATTTTCATCATTTATGATGAAAAGACATTTTAGTAATCTCACAATGCAATTAAATTTGCTGAAGTTGTTGCCTAAATTTAATTTCATATGGAAATTAAATCAGTGAGCTTATTTATATTTAAATATTTAAATACACACACACACACACACACATATATATATCTTTGAATTCAAATATAAAGGATATTATCTAGTAGTAATATTTAATATTAATATGAATAACATGAAATTCAAATTTGGTTTTTAAATTTGAATTGAATTGAATTTAAATATAATGGATACTATCTAATATTAATATTGATAATATGAAATTCAAATTTTGGTTTTTAAATTTGAATTAGAAATGCTATGTTTGGTTGCAAGGGGAACTATTCCAAATTGGAATAAGTTGTTTGCTATTCCATTTGGAATAGATGGCTATTCCAAGTCGGAATAGGATTTTAGTGTGCACTATTTAAGTGCAACTAAAAATTAAATCATTTAATGATTGACTTGCAAAATTGAAACCCTAGCCACCCTTCTCTCTCTCTCAAAAACACCACCCCTTTTGTGAGGAAAATAATTTTTCTTTCAAGAAAAATTCTGCTGTGATTTGTTCTTGTAGGTGAGTGATCTTCCTAGCCTAGAAGTCTCTCATCAATAGTAGTCCTGTCTTCGTGTGGATACCGGGAGTGCACTTTTATTATGAAGTGGTTTGCGAATCCAACATCAAATCGAAGGAGCCTCCAACGCTGGTATGAAACTCCTTTTCTTTTGATTTCTTTTATGCAAAATAATGTGATCAGCGTAAGGATCATAGGTTAAAGGTTAGCAGATATTGAATAAAAATTTTAAATTCCACTGCGTAATGGATCCATTAACTTACACTAACCCTCCCTCACTAAAACCCACCTAATCCTGACACCGGCGCACCCATTAATTGCGAAAATCTAGCCATCATTCTTCCCTGCGACTACCCATATTTGAGGCTGGAGTCTGGTATTCACACCAAAAATCCACCATTCAAATGTTCATCAGCCATTCTTCAAAACCCAACCTTCCATCTACACCCCCAACCGTTGTTTGTCATCCACCACACACTCTCTGGCTGCCCTCTATCTATTTGTGGAAAGTCCCTAACCAACCCAACAGGCTGCACTTTTTTGTTGACGATCTTAGGCTCATTTGGAGTTTATACTTGGAATTCTCGTTGTAAAAGTGTTGTTGCTTGTGTGTTGGCTTTTTTCCTAGTCGCTAGCGCTCTTCAACACTGCCACCGACGTTTTTCAACATGCACGCGACCTGCTCGACAAAAGGTCGTAGTCAACGACCTTCTTCAGCGCACCATTTCTTCCTGCTATTTTTGGCTACATGGAAAATTACCATCATATCTTTCTTGATTTTACTAACAGATTTTAAATAACAGATCTTAACAGTAGGTGGGTAATTGTAGTTTTCAAATTTTTTGGGTACGAAATTGTCTTTAGAACAAACTTCGGATGGGAAGATGTCGTTAGCCTATTTAGAAAGAATAGAAACAAATGATACCATGATTTCATTTCACCAAATATATTACTCATAAATATAGAGTAAACGACTTTTTCTCACCCAAGGTTTGCCTTAATGACACTTTCTCATTCAAAATGTTTCAAAATACCACTTCCCCATCCAAAGTTAATATTCCGTTAGCACTCAAAGTCGATTCTGATAGAGAAAAATCTCTCTGTCACCAGCATTTGAACGTCTAGTCTCCTCTCTATAAAACCCCTCTCACTTAGGCACTCGATTTCTCCAGGACCGTATAGCTAGGGTTTCCTATTCTTAGCTGATTTCTGGCGGCGAATATTCAATAAGTCACCACCCTTCGATCCACTGGCCTCCACTTGGGCTGTGCAAAATTACCCACTACCCGAACCGAACATGATAACTAAACCAAACCGAACCTATTTTTTTGGGTACCCGAAAATTTGGGTCGGGTTTGGGTAATGCTTCATAAGTGCCCGACTATTCAATTCGGGTACTAGGTTATATTTAAAAATTAATTCGGGTACCCGAAACCCGATTTTTTGTTTGAAAAAAAAAAAAAGTAAAAGTCTAAAACACGATTTTTCTTTACTTCACTCAAAACAAAAAAGCCCTAAATTCACTTTGCATCTTCTTCTTCTATCTTATTTCTCCACTCAACTCTAGTTCGCAATTGCATCTTCTTCAATTCTTCACTATCATCCGTTGTTCTCATTCCAACTGGCAACCCGCAGTCGATCATCGACAGTCCTCTATCCTCAAGCTCTTACAACAGTCGGCAACCACACATTGATGTTGTTAGTCCTCTATCCTTAAGGTATGTTTGTTAGTCTTATTCTCTCAAGACTCAAGCTCTCTGTTATCCAAATATGGCGTGACAGTAGAGGAAAGTTGGGAATTGATATTTTGATGGAATTCAATTCTTGAAGAAAAGGGAAAAGAAGTTGGGTGAAATATAAAGGTTTGTCAAAGTTCATGAACCAACTTGGACCTTTCCTTCCTTCCATATGTTAATGTTCAAGTGGGTAAATTATTTCATTTAAAATGTGTGAAAATGGGTATAAACTATGCAGCAACCTCAATGATTGTATAGAGACTGTTGATTTTGGGTTTTGAAAAACAAAGAGTATGGAACTTTCCACCCTTTAGAATTTTCTAAATTGATGGCAAGAAAGAAAGCAATTGGTGATTAGTCTATTCTTTGGCCCAATCATCAAACAGAGGATAAAAGGAAAATTAAATTAGGCAATTGTCATGTTTAGCATTATCTGGCGATCTTGTTTCATCGTTTTTCTTGGATTTCACATGCTAAAGTTGACGCAGTCTCGATGT